CAGTGCAGAACATTTTCTACCATGTTATTGGTCCCTCTGTACCCCAACCTTTCCCCGGGCCGGGCGGACTTGTTTGTAAATTCTTGGGCCGCCGCGAGGCTCCCACTCAACCTCCCCTTGTAAGGTTCCTTGCTCCCTTCACCGGGGGCGGCACTTTCTGGCTCTTGCGCGGGCCGGGAGTGTCGAAACTTTCCTACGAGATTTCATCTCCTAGGAGTTTCGAGGATGAATTACCTGGGATAATAGGGGTTGGCAACCTGCCAAGGGTCCCGCCGCGATGACCTATACGGTAGCGGGCTGTGCGAGCGCTCTCCCGGCGCTCTCTGTGATTATGCTTGCATATTCCCCCGCTATCCCGAAAGGGTGTTGCGGCCAGTCGTTGCTTCGGCACGGCTTGGTGAGAGTGCTGTGAGCCGGGGACGTGGTTTACCACTATCCGGAGCACAGTAAACCTCTGGCGAATGCAACCTTTCGACACCCTTTCCCAAACTTGGCCCGCCTGGCCTTCGACATCTGTATTATCCTCAGACACCTTTTCTCATGTCCCGATTATATTCCGTCACTGTTCTAATAAACCTGTTCTCTTAATCCTTTGCAGGTCTTTAGCAAATGCACTTTATTACTACCACTGAACACCGAACGCGCATAACTGATAATGAGTGCAGACAGGGCCGGAAGAATGAGGTGGCAATCCGGGTCCTCCCTTGGGGATTTATTCTCCTTGGTGTATTTACACTCTGGGAGGGCTCGGAGGCTCAATCTTTTCGACAGGAATGGACGGGCGCCTGGTCGGACAAGAGCTCCCAGTGGAGCACGGTAGATGAGGTGGAGAAGGCCAAGCTCCAGGTCGCCTTCAACGCCGACGGCGAGTTCTGGTACGGTATTTTACGGTATTAAATACAATTGACTTATTTTTATCTATTCCAAACGATCGCTTAAGTTTTATTGCTTAGGACAGCCGTTTAGCCAAAATTTCGATACCTTTAAGGATGTCAATCGAGGACTTCATCGTCAACTTCGAGCAGCTCGAGATTTGCAACCTGTCGGCGGACATCGAGGGCGAGATCGAGGACATGACGGGCATTAAGCGAGACGATGGCGAGAATACTGGAAGGTAGGAATTACTTAAATTCGACGTCAACTTTGGGGCTTCATTTCAGTTACTTAAAAAAATTAAGATCTTAACTTTCTATCCCTAAAAGCGATTTATGCCCTCAAAAGAACAAAATTCGATGGTTACGAGTGCTTTGCATAGCATTTTACTTATTTCCCCAAATAGCAAAAGCAAAATGATCTCGGGCGGGATCGAACCGCCGACCTTCTGTGTGTTAGACAGATGTGATAACCACTACACCACGAGACCGATGTGGGCGTGGAGGGAAGAGGGCCTTATCCGCCGCTCTTGCACGTACTGCCTTGGCTCCAGGCATCACTTCAAAAGTCCTATTTTCGAAAAGTTTTTTGTAATCGATACCAAAAAATTTAAGGCGTTTTTCGTACGGTACAATCCAGGATAAGGGACGCAAAAAGCAAAAAAGCAGCAGCAAAAAGTTATGCAAATTAACGCCTTTTCTGTAATGAATTTTTCACAGTCTTAGTTTCCAGCTAATTTGTGTATAATGACTTCGAAGATATAAATTTTTTCGATGGAATGCGTTTTTGGTGTCCTGATTTTCGTGCTAATTTCGAGTTAATGATTTTGAAAAAATTCGTTTCGTTAATTTTACATTTTTGGCTGCATACCCACTTTTTCAGCTGGCAGAAGCCGTTTGTGACGGTGCGTGGAGCTCAAAGGACAACACAGCCGGTGGATGCATCAATTATATCAGTAGGGCATACGGTATCAGGTCACCATGTAATTTTTAGGCTCATTCCCGAAGAACCCGCAATTCCAGCTGTCGCTGACGAACGCCAAGAATGGGGTCGAGGGCGACGGGCAGTGCACGGTGGGTATTTTTCAGGTTTTAAGTTATTTTAACTTAGCTATTTCACTTATTAACTTTGAAACTATTGTAATGTGGGCCAAAGTACACCTAAATAACGCTGAAAAGTATTTTAGGTTGTGGTCGCCGTAATGCAAAAGTATCGACGTGAGCTCCGAGCGCAGGGCAAGGAAGACCTGCCGATCGGGTTCATTGTCTATCCGGCAAGTGAAAATTTGTAGTGTTAGGTGTATTTTGTGTAATTTTAGCATTTTTCTATTTTAGAAAAATTTTTATATCTTTTTAAAAACTGTGAAAAGCCAGAAGAACGCCAAGAAAAATTTTTTTGCCCATGATTTTGCTCCAAAAACCTTTTTTCGTGTTTTCTAACATTTTTCAATTTTTCTAGGGTTTTAATTATATTTTTTTGGTTTTCATTACTTCTAGAGGCCTCCAGAATTTCTGAGTAGAGAAAATTGAAATCATGGGTTAAGCATTTCCAGATCTCGCGCAAAAAGCATCAACAAAAGCTCAAAAAAAACGTGGATCTCATTTTTAAAGTTTTTAATTGTTGAAACTAGCTGTTCAGCTTTAATTTTACCATTTTAACTTGTGAACTATTTCAGGCCCCAGCCGACAGCGGCGCCAAACAGAACGAGCAATTCTTCCGGACCACCAAGTCGCTCACCAAGGTGCCCGCCTTCACCAATATGCGAGAGGTAATTACCGTTATAAACCAATTAATCTATATTTATCTATAGGGTATAAACTTATTTAAACTTAAAGTTAAATAAGCTATCATCCCATAAATTTCCTCTTCAGGTGACGGTGCGATTCCGTGCCCCGCCCGGTGAATACCTCATCGTCCCCTCGACTTTCGAGCCGTACCAGGAAGCCGAATTCCTAATCCGTGCTTATTCCAACGGAGACCTGAAGCTCACGTGGGTTTCAAAAAACGTTTTAGCTTTGTCAGAAATCGTGAAAAATCCCGAATTCGAATCCGAAAAATCCCGAATCTATGCTAGATCGCCATCAGAATCCAACAAAGGCCCCTCGTCTCTCCGCTCAACTTCAAAATTCCCAAAAGGATCACTGCTAGCCTGCCCCTAGAAAAATTCTATTCTATTCTATTGTTCCTTCCACTCTGGCCTCGAGTTTCCTAAAGCATTCCCCAAAGAATCTCTGCTAGCTTGCCATCAGAAACAGATAAGCTTTTGCTTGATTAGCTTTAAAAAAAAAAATCCAAATTTTCCAGAGAGCTCCACTAAACGCCGGGCGGCTGCCCGTCGATGATGATGCACAGCGCAATCCTCTCAACGCCCTTTACCTACCTGCAAACTTTGAAATTCCAGATTCCCGAATTGCTCTACCAAAAATGCCTGCATGCCTCGTTCCGATGCGTATCCTCTATGCAACGAATCTATTTGCCTATATTTTTTTTGTTTTATATTTTTCTAATTCTACCGGTTTCCGAGCCCCGTGTCGCTTTCTGAATAAAGAACTGAGTTTGAAAAACGTTTAATTTTAACATGATCAAGGCTTCGAAAAATCCGTCTGTCAGCTACAACTACAGCGATATGCCGACGATTTGCTGTCAGTTTGTCGAAATATCATTTTGTCAAAATTTACTTTTGTCGAAATCCCATTCAAAAAAATTGCATTACAAACAATTCCATACCATTCTAAAATTCCATTTGCTATCATTACGTTATCACATTTTATTATTGAGAGCCTAAGGCTTCCCGGGAAGAAAATTGGTGTTAGAAAATAGCGCCAAAATCGGCATTATAAGGATTCTTATAAGGCATTCTGTAAATCGGCATTATGAGAATCGGCATTCTGTAAAATCGGCATTATGTAGGTGATTCTGTTTTGCACACAGATACCCCCATTTCCATGTCGTAATGTCCGCCATGAGAAGAGATGAGAAGAGACCTAGTCTCACTCTTTCGCCGCCTATTCCACGCCCTACCCCTCCCCTCTGTGTCTGCACCCCGCCGTCTGGCGCACTATCCGCCAGCCTACTCACGAACACCGCGGAATCATGTGGTCTAAGCACTAGCTAGGTCACGGGGGCGTGCCCTGCAACAGAGAGAATGGGCGAATGAGAGAGAAACAGAGAACGCAACGCTCAGCAAACGATAGCAGGGGGCCCAACTGCTAGTACCTATATGCTGCTAGTGCCCTCGTATAGCCTTAATTATTGATCATAACAAATACCGTATTTTCTCTAATATAACCAACCAAAAAGTTTATTCCGAGGTTGCTTTTAAGAAGCAAAAAATTCCAAAAATGTGGATTTTTAAGTTTGTGCTGTGCCACTGGAGTGGTTGTGAGTCGTTTGAGCGGCTAAAAATGGTTCTGGGCTGTTAACGGGGGGCGACTAAATTTTCCCTGTGTTTCTCCACGGCCCTTTAACAAAATAGAAACCGTTTTTATATCATCTTACATAACCTTTGGGGTATAAAAAATCTAAAAAATAAGAAACATTTTCGAAGATTTTGACGTTTTGGTCGAAAATATAAGAAAATGACCGAAAGGCCAAATTTTCGAGTATTCAAAATTCTTATGAATATTTTTTTAGAACTTTAGCAATCAAAGACTATTAAAAACACCATAAAATACATAATATATCGGAACAGTACGTATAGGTGGAAAAACAACAGGTAGTTTCCCCCTGCTAAAAATCCCTCCCCCGCTATCTAGATCCCTAAAATTCGCTGTAACTGTTCAAATTCACGAAAAATATGTAAACCCCCCTCCCCTGAGGGGGTTATTGAAAAAAATTTAAACCCTAAGTGTTATATTAGATGAAATACGGTATTTACTGTTAGCGGCCGCGTAATCCCGTTTGTGGAATTTTATGTTATTTTTGGAAATTAGTAAAGTACACCCGGTACACCCGGTACACCCGGATGAAAAGAGTGGGCGTAGCGCGAGAGTGCAGACATTTTTCTCTGCGTCTTGCTCTCATTTCCTTGCTATCGCGAAACGGGTGTACCGGGTGTACCGGGTGTATTTTACAAATTGCCTTATGTTTGGTCTTACAACTGGCAAAGCAAGGAGTATACTGAATAGATGGAAGCTTCCCCTATGATGGCCAGCGGAAATGTCGGGGTACGGTCCGGCGGCTTGCCTGCGCGCTTCGCAGTGGTAAGTATATTTTTTGTTTGTTGTCTACAACGCAAAAGCATAAACTAGCGGTTAAAAACCCGGTATCAAATGCTATAAAAATTGTCTTAACATTTTAAAGGTACAGTCCGCTCTCGTTTGAATGGTCTAAGATCATAGACAAATTGTGTTTTAGAACGCCGGGTTACGGTATGTGCTAAAATTCGGACAAAACCGGACCCGGGAAGCTCGCCTGGGGCAAGCGCTTTAGACCACTCGGCCAAGGGAGAGACGGGAGAGGGGAGGGAGCGAAGGGCTATGAAGGGTCGGAGGCCGCGGCCGCCGGACAGCCGAATCCAGGCCGCCGACCGGGGTTTTTTTAGCGAGCACTGAATGCACCTTTAATTGGTTCGCCCCGCCATCGCAAAAAAAAATGTCCCTTGTTCGTCCGTTAAAAAATTGCTCCTCGCTAACACGGAAGCACCCGTAAAAATTCCAGCGGTTGCTGTTGTCTTTTTGAGAAATAGTTTTCTAAAGCAACGGATTTTTGAGTTCAGGACTGTTAAGGAGGAAGGTGTAGATTTTTAGCCGAGAAAAACCATTCCTTTTTTTCACTTATACCCACTTATCGATCATATATTATATATTTTTCTAGGCTTTTTCGCATTTTTTAATTGCTAGAGGCTAAAAAATATTCTTAAAAATTTTGAAAATTCTAAGCTTTTGACTTTTTGGTCATTTTTCATACAGCATCAAACATCAAACATTTTCGAAATTATGATTGTATGATTTTGGTAACTATGATTGTTGTTTTTTAGGCGAGCATCATCGACAAGCAGCAGCGCGAGATCGGGCGGCTGATGATGGAGAACGAGAAGCTTCGCCGACAATTGTCTGCCGTGCCACCGTTGAAGGGCCCGCCCACGCAGGTAGGGTATGACAATCACCACAATACAAAATTATACGTTACTTACAGCTAAAAAAAACGTTTAGAATTCAAATGGCCAGAATTTTTTGGACCATAAACAAAGTTAGGCTAGGTCTAGCTTTCACTTCGCAGCCTGCGCTTGTACAACCATTGCTTCAACTTTTACGCAGGTGGTTCGTCGGACTACACGAGGGCGCGATCCCGAGGCGCCTGATCCCGGTTATCAGCTTTATCAGGTTCCAGGGGCGATCCTCGCAATGTGTTACTATCCGTTTGCGTCGGCAGAGGTGAGAGAATTAGCACAAATTGATAGTTCAGTTTTTGGAGTTCACCTTCGGACCAGGGTTGGTTATAATGATGAGTCGGCACCTTTAGTGGGGGGAGGTTTAACTGGGGAAGCCAACTTTTCCATATGGTTCTCCACGGCTTCATAGCAAAATATAAACCATTTTTATATCATTTTACATAGTTTTTAGCTATAAAAGCAATGAATATTTTGAAATTTGTGAGGTTTTGGTGAAAAATGTAGGAAAAATGGCCAAAAGGGCCAACATTTAAAATTTTCGAATATTTTTATAACAGTCCAGCAATCAAAAACAACGTAAAACACCATAAAAAGTCAACGATATTCAAATATAAAGAACCTTTTAAAAGGTTTGACATTCTGGCCAATAACCGGGATTTATGGTTGAATATTTTTGTCTTTTTTAATAAAATTGTTTGTGGTTTTAGACGTTGAGGAATGGTAAAAAACAGCTTAAAATACTTCCGCTATTTATATTTGAAAAATGGGGGTAAAAAGGTCCCCCCCCGATAATGCGAAAAACCCCGCTGCCGATATTCGGTCCAAGCCCGCTTTTGGGTACCGGGAAAATCAGCAGGTATGCAGGCCCACGGCATCTATTCTGTGAACCGTGCTTGTTTTTCAGAACAAACTGTGCATCATTTCCGTCGTCATCGTAATCCTTCTGCAAGCTGCAAGTGAGTTAAAGGGGCCGGGAAGTCAGCATTCGCGCATCCGCGCGCTAAACAGGCTTGTCAAAAAAGAAAGGGGGAGAGGAGAGAGGAGACACAGATAAGTGATTTCGTTGCGAAAAACGTAAGTTATTTGAATAGAACCGAAATGTTCTTGGGGGAAAATGAATTTTTGAGTGCGCGGCGATTACATTTCGTAATGCTCTGTAAGGCTGTCTAGACAAGGCTCTGTAAGGTCTGTAAGAGACGTCTCTCAATATCGGCGATTCTCTGATCAAGTCCTAATTAAAAAGTCCCGAATGACCGAAAGTCTATGAGGATTACAGAAATTGCTTCAGAAATTTTTAATTCCGTCATTTTCAGCGTTTTCGTTTTCCTGAAATGCGGTTCCCCAAAAACGAAAAATTCCGTGCGGTTTTCCGTTTTTCGAGATAATACTTATCCTACTATATATAAAAAAATAGTGTCTGTGTGTGTGTGTGTGTGTGTGTGTGTGTGTGTGTGTGTGTGTGTGTGTGTGCCACTTTACATGCAACTTCCGTCAGGTTGTTCCAGTCGTATCTCAAGAAGGAGAGTAGTTAGGGGCATGTTTGATACGTCATTAGGAGCGTAATGGTCTGGAGATGACTGCACGCATATCAGATATATCAAAATTCCTTATTTTCGACATTAAATTTAGTTTTTGTTGAAAAATCCGAGATCCTCTTTGTTAGGAATCAATTAGCATACACCGGAAGCGCGGGTAGCCTATGTAAAGGAGCAGAGAGCGCATTTTTCACTTTTTTCCGCGTGTGTCGGGCCGAATCATGCAAAGCGTAAACTTTCATTGGTCCGAAACGGGGCCAGGGTTGAAAAGTCGCGAAGCGGCTTTTCAACCCTGGTACTTATTAATACTTTAGTTTACGAGTTTCACTAATATTTTTGTGAAATGGATCGAATGCTGTTGCTTCACCGATGAAAGGGTTTTCTTACAAAATCACAATTTATGAATTTTTTTCGACAACCCAACACCAGCTTTGAAGGCCATTTAAGAAAAAAAGATGGGTGGCGCTTGAGCTCGATGTTTTTGTAAAAAAACGTTCAACTTTGGCATGAAAAATGCCGAGAATCGCGCGAAAATTCGGGAATTTCGAAAATCGGAAAGATCATATCTCAGCATCTCGCCGAGAGCTTTCGATAGATACCTCGTAAAAATCGGGTTAGGGCATCCTATATCAGCAATTTCAGTTTGCTATCCGATTGCGGTCCAGAATTTGAAAAAGCACAAGGCCGCCATGGCTGCCGGGATTAAGCCAACTGCCGCAACCACCAAAAACGTCCAAAAAGATCCAGATGCCGACTCGGCTTGTTATGTATAAATGTTGCTTCCTGGGACAGTAGCTCGCGTTCGGTTACCTAACTGCACAAAAACGCCTCTTTGTATTCGGTCTGCTTGCAGTTACAGGGTGGCTAGAAAGTATTTGCCGCGCTTTTGCGCTGGTTTTAAACTGCTAAAATTCCAACGACAGGGGCATTAGTGGGGTGCATACGGAAGAGAATTTTTTGCTCTATCGATTGATATATAAAAACAAGCAAATGCTTGCTCGTATAATTTTAATTAGACTGAAATACATAAAACCTCGTTTCTTGTATTGGTTTTCGGCATTTTCGAAGCCCTCGAAAAATATCTTAGGGGATATCTTATTCTTTTCCGGTGCTGTATCGTAGAAACCATTATCCAAACTATCTAAAAAAATTATGCTTGGGGCACCGCGAGAGTTAGATGGATCACGGAAGTGAAAGTAAAATTTTGCTAGTGGGGTGCGCCGAGATTCGTGGCTGGCAACCATCTGCCGCACAAAAATGAATTTTAAAAATTATTAATTCGAAAGCTTGCCCTAAATTTACTATTAAAATATAGATAATGCATAGGCCTACCAGGCTGACTCTTGACTATGACCAAAATAATTGAAAACGCCGGCGTCAAGCATTTGAAGAACGTTCGAAACCAACGGCAAGAAAGTGCAACTTATTATTATTTTGTGCCCGCAATAATTTTAGTTACGGTTATCCAATGAGTTTTTGCTATCCACGCGGTTGGTTTTATTGCGTCCACAAAAGAAATAATATTTTTCGCATTAAAACGTGGTTGTTTAAGGCATTTTGTATTTGTGCTCCAAAAACACCTTGTTCCGCTCATTTTAGGCGCTCAAGAAAATAGCGAAAAGCTTTTCGATACGGCTAAAACGAATTTTTCTAGATGATACGTCCAATAAAGGGCCTTGCAATAAACCAAAATCCAACTTTCTGTTCGGATTGGTGGTAAGCAAAAATTGAAAAGATTAACACTAAAGTCAAAATACGTGCGGCGCAGGCTCATGTTTGGATGCACCTCTAAAAGACCGTATCATAAAAATCTGAGGTCTAGGGTGTTAGTCTTTTTGATAGTCGTAAAGAGGGGTCTATTTGCTACATTTTGGTTATAAAATGGCAAAGAAGCCGGACACGGAGAATTTCTTAAGGAGCTTTCCCTGCGGCAAATACTTTCTAGCCACCCTGTATTTCGATGTTCTCGTATTTGAGATATTGCGCGTAGAAAATGTTTAACTTTTGCATTTATTAAACAAACAAAAAATACATGAGCGCATAGGAAATGTGTTCTTACGCATTATTAGTGCTGGTAATATTTAACTATTTTTAAAACAAACAAAAAAAAACTTTAAAAATTTTCAAAAGGCGAAATTTTGGTAAAAATCGGTTTTTTTGGTCGAAAATCTATATGTTTGATATTTATTATAAAAATTGATAAAGTTTTCACGTTCAAGGATATTAAAAAGCGTTTTAAAAACACGGCCACACTTATATTTAAAAAAATGAGAACCTCAGAAAAAAAAAGTTGGTCTCCCCGATAATGCGAAAGAACCAGGAAACGAATCATGTTGAAGTGGAGCGATTTTCTCGATTTAGGCAGTAGAAGGTGGGACGGCGGCAAGGGCAGCCCGGTAGATTCTCCACTGCCAGAGTCGAATCAGATATTCGCCTGAAACCGTTTAAACCTTACACACCGTGGTACCCTGAAACCGCACCCCTTCGGAATTTCGGTTCTGCACTTAGCGGGGGGGAGGGAGATTTTTAGCAGGGGGGAAAACCACTTTTTGTTTTTCCACCTATTCCACTTATTGATGATATACTATGTATTTTTATAGTGTTTTTAGTAGTTTTTGATTGCCAGAAAGTCATATAAAATAGTTTTAAAAATTCGAAAATCTTGACCTTTCTTTGGTGAGATTTTGACAAAAGTAAACAATTTTCGCAAATTTGACTAATTTTTACATAGTTTTGATGTCTAAAATTGTGTAAAATGCTATAAAAACGGTTTATATTTTGTTATAGGGCCGTAGATCACAGAGAAAAATTTGGTCCCCCCCCCGCAAAAATCCCCCCTCCGCTAACAGTCCAGAACCGGAATTTTGACGCTTTGCATACGATCTGTCCCAAAATTGTGCCATATATGTATCGTACCCTAAATAATTACAATCCTGATGTACAGCCACATAGCTACAGTAGTCTTCGATAATTCAAAGGAATCTGTTAGCAATAAATTTTTTAAAATAAGGTGAAAACGATGCGTCGACCCTTCTTTATCCCCGTAATTTTTCCAGACCAAAAAGCCAAAAACACGCCAAATGTTGCGGTCTTTGGAGCGCAAAACTGCCCCAAAATTTGGGATTTGGAGTCCGCGGTCGATGCAGGTTCTAGGAAAAATCCGAAAAAGCTTAAAAAGTTGAAGAGAAGTCATGCATGCAGAAAAAGTATGTTAATCGTGGCTTATAATACCATGCCGGGTTGTAGTTCGGATTATTGCTATGCTGTTTCCATACCGTATCCCTTTACCTGTCCATACTTACCGACGCATTGAAAAATGACGACACCGGCTGCGTGATAAACGTCAGTTCTCCAGCTCTATAAATGACCGATCGCACCGGACCAAATTTTAAACGTAATTTCTGGTTACGATAGTTGAGGGCGAAAGAGCTTTCGCGGGGGGGGGGGGGCACCTTTTTGCTTTTCCACCTATACCTACTTGTTGTTGTATTATGCATTTTATTGTGTGTTTAGTAGTCTTTGATTTCCAGAAAGTTCTAAAAAATTTTGAATTTGGAAAATCTAGAACAATCTTTTTTAAGAAGGCTTTTTGGTCATTTTTCATACATTTTTGACCGAAAAGTCATAAATGTGCGAAAATTTTCACCATTTTTTATTTTGTTTTAAAATCTAAAAACTACAAAAATTGCTAGATTTTTTATATTTTGTTATAGGGCCGGTGAATCACAGGGAAACATTTGGTCCCCGCCCAGCTAAAAATCCTCCCCCCCCCCGTGAACAATCTAGAACCTCAAAACCTTGAGGGAATTTTTAGCTTTTGGCTGCAAGATATGGGGATCGACAGAACACGACTATCCCATCCCTAAGAAACCCAGCCTTGAGTTCCTTACATCCGGCGCAAAGCACCATAGCACCAGCCAGGCGGTGAACACCTTGCCATAAACCGTGTACATTTCCGAAATGGGCGGAGGCTCCACCGGTCCTTTTGCCTGAGACGATTTGTCGGGGACCTGCAAAGCACTTGGGGTTCTATACCGGCAGCGGGGATTTTTCCAGGAATCGGGGATCTTTCCAGGAATCGGGGATCTTTCCAGGAATCGGGGATTTTTCCAGGAAAAGGGGATTTTTGCCGGGGGATCACCGGAATCGGGGATTTTTCACCGAATCGGGGATTTTTCCCGAAATCGGGGATTTTTAAAAACAGGCAAATTGGCCGAATTTTGGAGCCGTCGAAATCGGGGATTTTTTAATTGGCTGTTTGGGCCGGGCTAAAATCCCCGATTTCAAATTTTCTGGAAATATCGAAAAACACTGTTTTTTAAACCCTGTTATGCATATGTTTGCCATTTCCACCCTAATTTGTGTTTTTTTTCGGTGTTTTAATCCATAATTGCCGTGCATGAAGCTAATAAAGCAGGCAATTTATTGATAGGGAAGTGGAAAATGGCATTTAGTGCTTGGTTTACAGATGATAGGGAGAGGGCGACAACTGACGGCGGCAGATCAAAATTTATGTTTAAGTGGAAAAACTTGGCGATCCGTTAAGTTAAGGAAATCCGATGTGTACCTGGACAAAGAACGGGTCAAGCGAGGGGGTAGGCGTGGGCCATCAAAACCAGCATGTGTTGAAAAAGCAGCTTGCGGTCGGCACCCCTTCGAAACATGTATTCGAAAAGATGCGATGGCAGCTGGCCTTGGGTGGTGCCACGAAGATGTCGGATAGCGGTTTTCATGGCCCCCCAGGTGGCCTCGATGGCTTGGGTATTGATAGCGGGGTCCTTCCAAGATTCATCCGACCTGGCAATGTTATGTCCTGTCGCTTTAGGCCTACCTTCGACAGATCCCGGTAGCCCAATTACCTTGCTTTATAAGGATTCTTTTCAGATCTATGTGATTCCCGAATGGTGGTCTTTAGAGACCTCCTTGATTGGTACCTCGAAGACTGGAGCGATTCGGTATCTATGCTTCCAGCTTTGTCCCACTATGGTGTCATTACAGGCTGCTATCTGCAGCGCGTTCTTTGGTGCCTAAAGGACGCCTGGAGGAATAACCCGTTCTTTGTCCAGGTACACATTGGATTTCCTTAACTTAACGGATCGCCAAGATTTTCCACTTAAACATAAATTTTGATCTGCCGCCGTCAGTTGTCGCCCTCTCCCTATCATCTGTAAACCAAGCACTAAATGCCATTTTCAACTTCCCTATCAATAAATTGCCTGCTTTATTAGCTTCATGCACGGCAATTATGGATTAAAACACCGAAAAAAAACACAAATTAGGGTGGAAATGGCAAACATATGCATAACAGGGTTTAAAAAAACAGTGTTTTTCGGTATTTCCAGAAAATTTGAAATCGGGGATGTTAGCCCGGCCCAAACAGCCAATTCAAAAATCCCCGATTTCGACGGCTCCAAAATTCGGCCAATTTGCCTGTTTTTAAAAATCCCCGATTTCGGGAAAAATCCCCGATTCCGGGAAAAATCCCCGATTCCGTGAAAAATCCCCGATTCCGGTGATCCCCCGGCAAAAATCCCCTTTTCCTGGAAAAATCCCCGATTCCTGGAAAGATCCCCGATTCCTGGAAAAATCCCCGCTGCCGGTATAGAACCGCACTTGGTAGTTACGAATAATTAAGAATAATTCCAGGCCTTCTTGAATCAACGCTGGGTCATTTTTGGACCGAAAAAATAGATTTTTACCAACAATTAAATTTCCAATGGAAATTTGTACCGTTTTTGTGCTAAAAAACGGCTATAAATAATGTACAAACGTATCTGATATAAATTTATTTATACAGGCTACGACCGAAAAACGTTTCTGTTCCCGAGGGAATCTTTCTTTACCCACAAAAAAACTTTGGGCGCCAGCGAACAAAAACTATGTATACATACCGAAATACTTCGGCTTATCGGTGATTCGACACTTCCGCTGGCGGTCATAGCCGAACTTCTTGCCCAAACTCACTAATGCCGAAAACTTTCGTAAAATGCCACAACTTGGAACCTGTAGATATTTTTTTAAGATAAAGAATAAAGGCTATGTGAGGGAAATCCACTAGCGGATCGGCCCCTTGCTGGCGTTTCCGGAGCGTTGCGTTCTCTGTTTCTCTCTCATTCGCTTATTCTCTCTGTTCCAGGGCCCTCATGACCTAGCTAGTGCCTAGACTGGCCTTACGACACCGGGATACCCCGCGGTCACGGCGCCTCAAGCTAAACAAAATGCGGCAAGTGCACAGGGCGGCCTATACGCGTGGCTCCTATGTACGTATAGTTAAAACTTTGAAGCCTTGTAGCCTATCTAAGCAGCAGCGGTGTAAAACTAAAAGCGTAGTATTTACTTGGAGTTGCTGCCCAGGCGTCCATTCCAGGCAAAACCAATTAGCTCTGAAAAATCCGCGCAGAAAAGATAAACAAATATTTCATCTCCAATTTTGCTAAATTTCCGAGAATCTGTTCCGATTTAAAAAATTTGATCAACCTTTGGGAAAATTGACGTGTTCGAAAGGGCAATTCTTCCTGAGCATCACGCGCTAATTTGTTAGCCTGAATTTTTTTCAAACGTTTTTAGGTCAATTCAAAGTGTGCCATTTAGAGAATTTTGCTAGCTAAAAAAACTCTTGTAACTTCTTCAAAATGGACATTTAGCAGTTTTTGAAAAAAATCCTTTTTAGCCTCCGTGCGGCGCATTTGAGGCCGATTTTAAAGTCCTGTACCAAGAACAAAATAGCGATTTATGAAGCGAAAACTGCAAAAAAACGGAGAATTGTTCACTTCTTGCAGACGTAAATCGTATTCACCGGATAGTAGGCCGGGTTGATGCGCTCAGGGTTGGCAAATCCGCATTCCTTCAGTAGGGCCGCCTGCTTGTGGTTTCCCCACATCGTCCCCAAACACAGCGCGCCTAAAAAATTTTAAATTTTTGGAGGTTTTAAAACAATTTTTGAAAACTACAAACCTTCCTTATTACTGCCGACGGGCAGACAATGGAATAGGGAACAACCGTAGTGCATCGAGCTCCGCAGCGGATCCGTCTTTTTGTCCTCCAGAACGCTTCCGGTCGCCTTCACCTCGACCATGGCGAAGATCCCGCCCGGCTTCAGCACCCGGTGGATCTCGCGGAGAGACTGGAGGTGTTCAAAATTTAAAAGGAAGAATTTCGGTACTGGACTGTTAGCGGGGGGACGGTTTTTCCGGGCTGCCATCCCGCAGAAACCCGGCATCCAGTTAACTGTAAAACCAATTTTTATTTTTCCGCATACAACTGTTAATGATAAAATTTAGACCTTTTTGGTCATTTTTTTCAGAAATTTTTGACCAAACAAGACCATATAGGTTTACTGGAATAAATTAGATAAAATTAGACCCCCGCTAACAGCTCATTACCAATTTTTCCAGCCATTACATTTTCTAGACGAGAAATTACAATTCCTCGAAACCAACCAAATCCGGCCGCGTCTGATCGTGGCACGCATCGAAAATCGTCACAAAATCGAACGTATTTCCCCAATCGTGTGGTAGGTGCGCGGCATCGCAGGCGATAAATGTCTAAACATATTCCTACTATATATAAAAAAATAGTGTTTGTGTGTTTGTGTGTGTGTGTGCCACTTTGCATCCACTTCCGTCTGTCTGTCCGGAGGATCTCTTGATAGAGGATGGATTTTAAAGTACGTATGATACGTCATTAGGTGCGTAATGGTTTTGGGATGACTGCACGCCTAACAGATTTTACAAAATTATCGATTTTCGACATTAAATTTCAGTTTTTTTTTAAAGCTGCTTTGTTAAAAACAATTAGCATAGACCGGAAGTGGGGACGCGACTATATAAAGCCGCAGAAGAAGTGGTTTTTCATTTTTTGCCGTCTGAATTCAGGACAAGTATGCAAAGTGAAGCGTAAAATGGCGCCAGCCGGGGGCCAGGGTTGAAAAGTCGCGAAGCGGATTTTCAACCCTGGTGTTTTCTATTTTTACAGGTTTTATATGCGCCGAGTAAAGTTAGAAAAGTCAAATTACTTTGCTTAAACCACTTTTATCAATCTAAAAGACGGCTAGTCTAATTTTCTCCGCTTTTTGCGATTTTTAAGCTCATAAAGACGTCAATTTTCGTACCGAATTCTTCGTCCCGTCCGCGGCTTTTTGCTGGTTGGCCGCTTCAATCGCTTCCGGCACGAGGTCAAGCCCGTAGAACTCGGATTTTGGGTATTCGTTAGCTGGAAATTGATGCGGAAATAATTGTTAAAGTGTTTTAAGGCATTTGTCTTGATCTTGGCAGCTTAATTTTACTTATTATTGCTATTCACGATTTTCTGAAGCTCAAAACATCAAATAAAATACCGAACAACTGCACGTGGAACCCGTTGCCGCATCCGATATCCAGGCATTTCATTCCACCAGCCGCCAGCTTTGCCTAAAAAAGTTTACTACCCTGCCAGCGTCAAAATTACGGCGATTCCATGCCCGAGGTCCGGCACGACTTTTGGAATCAAATACTCGCGGTGCCGGGTTTCTAAAAAAAAAAAAAAAAAGGGGGGGAAAAAAAAAAAAAAAAAAAATTTTAAGGGGGGAAGAAAAAAAAAGGGGGGGTAAAAAAATAATTTTCGTATTTTGCTTTGTAAAATTTCTACAAAAACCCACGACTACACGCGGCCATCAGCGAGTAGAATTGCTGATAGTTTGCGTAGTCCATCCCTGGAAAAGATCTCAATCCAAAAAAATATAAAAAACTAACCAAGGCGCGGGTTGTCCGCCCTGAACGCCTCCTCGAGCTGCTCCCTGACGTCGGCGAACAGCGGCACGAACGCCATGTTAGCGATCCACGAAGAGTTAAGCAGGCTCTAAAGTTTTTTCTAGGAGGTCAAGCTAAAAGTTTGCCCTTTTCTGCCCTTCGGTTGCCCAATATTTCTCCTCCTCGTCGACCTGGAAAATACCGGCGCACGCCAGACAGGCCATCCACTCGCGGACGTAGCTGGAAACTGGGCAATTCTTTATAAAACACGTTTCGCGTGGGAAAACAATCTAAAAATTTTTAAAACTCTTAAAAACGCAAAATTCTGTTCAAAAATCACCATTTTCGGGCGGAAAACCATATTTTTTTGTATTTTTTAATAAAATTGCTTCATTTTTACCCTTAGGAATAGTAAAAATTTTTTAGGAACACCTTAGCTGTGCTTGGCCAACTCCAAAAATCTCAAAGCCCCCATAGCTTCACCCACCGTGGCTTGCAATTTGCCTTTTCAGCTACAGCTTCGGCAGTTGTGTGTTTCTCTGGGGACCCAAGTGCGCAGAATGCCTAAATTTGCCGTCTGAGCCTGACAGAATGCCTGATCAGGTTTCGAAGAAGAGATTTTTACAAGGAGCCCACTACAGTTTTTTGAAAGTGAAGGCAATATTTAAGAGAAGGAATTATATCGCCAACCTCAAGCAGTCCAAGCCGCCGCCCAAGCGTCAACGCCAACGACACCATTCCGCCGCTGAGGTATGTCTAAAGACGCAATCAATTTGTTTTGCTTAATAACAGTGCTACCAAGAGCATCTGGTCATACTCGCTGGCCATTGTTGGTTGCTTGTGACTACGAAGTTGGACCCTGAAGCTAAAATTCCTTCGAGGTCGTCTAGATCTTCACGGGCCACAAAACCGGGCCAAGGATCGGTTCACAAATAGTTGCTGTAATTGGGCAAATATCGAAAAATCTTTATAGATCCGAAGGGCCAAACTCGAAAAGCTGTAAACCCGAAAGACTGAAGCCCCAAAAAGAAGCCAGGTAACGAAGTATCCCTATATCGAGCGGCAATCTCCGGTGCCTGCTTGCTTGATATGATAAGCCCACGTGGTGACCTTGACTTTCGGCCAGGTCGGATGGCTGGCCATACGAAAACGCGTGATGAGGTAGCAAAGTTGTACCGTTTCACCAAAGGGGTTTCCGGAAATGCACGTTTGATCCGAATCTGATGTTATGATTAATGTAGCCACGGAGGGCTCCCCCATAGAGCGACGAAGCATCAAAGAACGTCCAAAGAACAGAGGAAACACAACATTCTTGCCAAAAAACCCGTACCGCCTGCCTGTTGGCCAGGGTCCGATCAATCGTTCAAAACCACGCTAGCCAAAGTCAAGTTAGCAGCACCCTGCCTGGTAGTTCGATAAAACCCAAAGTCCAAGACATATCCCAGTGTGTGAAAGAACGAATCAAAGCACAATGGGTAAACCGTATTTATCCTCGTATCAGGTAAGTGGAGCTCGGATGGCAAAAGCAGCTCTAGTCAAAATCGAAATTACAATCAGCGGGTCTATAGACTGGAACGGGCGCAATTCTCGGAAAGACATAAAGTGGAAAACACAACGATAACGATTCGAATTATGGCTTTTTTAGGGGGCACTCTACAGCGGGATGCGGCTGACGGCGGCTTCGAAGAATGCTTGAAATTGGGGTATACGCAGACAACAAAGTCGGCATACCTTTGTGATCGGTGATTTCCGGGACAAGTACCTCTTCTCGCAGCCCGGCGTTGGAAAGTTGGCTGTACGGGTTGACGAACTCGCCCTCGGCGTTGTACATGCTGGCCTAAAAAGTGGAAAAATCGAAAGGACGCCTTGCACAAAATACCTGTTCGTCCTCGAGCGTCTGCCCAAAGTTGGTGCTCACGGGGGGCTCGTCAAGGAGCATCCTCGTCGCAAAGGCCAGCGCCTTTATCGCATCACTAAAAAAAGAAAATAATATTTGATTTCCGGGAAGTTAACGAACCCTAATGCAACAGCAGTCTCCGAGAACAAGCGGCCGAACCCGATGCCAATTGTGCGCTTCTCGTCGGCCGTCGTCACAGCCCTAAAGGCTGGGGGTTTGGAAGAACATGGAATAAGCGGCCCTATACCGATTTGAGGTCTCAAAAATTGGAATAAGCTCCAAGATTAACCAACATGTTTTGCAGGCGAAGCCAAAAATCTCAAAAATCAAATAAAAAAACCGTCAAAAGGCATCAGCTGTGAAATAAAGGTGAAAACTGCAACGTGGCGCCGACTTAATTTGAGTTTCTATCCTATTTTAGACCTGATGCACGATTTTAGCATTAATTAATTGTTTTTGAATACCTCAAATCAGGATAGATCCCAAGAGGGGACTACAACCAGGGTTCCCTTCCTCACCTGCAATCGCACAAAGCCGGGCCCACGATCTTCTCCATAATCATTCGATAGAGGCCGGGCTGCATTTGCTCCAGGACCTAAAAAGAGTAAAGAATAAAAGTAACATTCGTACCTTGACAAACGTCTCCACGTTGACCACGACAACGAACCTAGCGACAAACACCAAAAAGTGCTTGTTGAAGCGCGGTGTTTTGCTGTCCTAAAAGTCGCGAATTTGATGCGGAATAAAAGCCTAACCCGAAGCCTTTTCAAAATGTTGTTGAAGAGGATGGCGAACGGGTTGTCGATGCCCTGCAGTCGTTGCATGTGCGGCAGCAGCAGTGACGCCAACTTGAAGCCGTACAGTTCGAGGTTTTTCGAGCTGATCAGTCTGAACAACAGAATTCAAGATTCTCAAAAAAAGAGCCGAACCTGACGTATTGGGTGACGAGCAGCGTGCTGTACGACTCGCACACCTTGTCTGGCAGCGCTTTCAGATAGATCTCGAGCAGCGACAACACGGCGGGGATATTGGCGCTCCTAAGAGGAATATGGGCTAGCTGGACTAAACTTACTTGGCCCAGAAATCCTGACGCATCAAGAAGCTCAGGAAGCCGAGGTAGGCGTCCGCAGGCGCTCCCCGAGTAACGCAATCAGCGAGCAGGACGCCTGGAAGATGTTCAGATCCTAAACGCCAAAAATACCAGTGAGCTGAAGGGCATAGGGGATCAGATCTTGCATCTCTTGGGCCAAAATCATCTCGATGATGGGAAGGAGCGACGGGTCGAGGCCACCAGCAACATGTGCGGATGCCTAAAGAGAATATTTTGAAAAACAAAACCGCGCTACCTTTTTGATGAGTACGCACATCGTCTCGAACAAAAAGTGTGTGTGGATCGGGTCGGCTGGGTTTCGAATTGTCTGTTCCACCATCGACACGAGCTTCATCGCAATCTGTCCGCCGGCCGCGGCTGTGTTAGACTAAACAAAAAAAATTAAAAAGATGCATTAAACGCTTACATCCAGGATATTCACGATCCGCATCAGGGCCTTGATCAAGTAGTACGAGTTCTGCGACTTTGGATCCGCATCAAAGCAGGCCACAAGCGCTGCCAGGAACGGGGCCACCGGAACGTTGGCCGCGGAGAACAAGGGTCGCTAAAGAACTTGATCCAAGAATGAAACGAAACCTTACCCCTTCGATTCGCATCAACAACAGGCGCTCAACGGCCCAGGCAGCGTATTTGTGGACCTAACGAACGTTAAGAGACTAGAAAAGGTGTGCCAACCTGAACATGACGAGAACCAAGCAGCTTTAGCAGCAGCGGAATTGATTGAACAATGTCTTGAGGTGGTAGCTGCGTCCGGAAGGTGACCAAGAATCTAAAAAAAAGTAAAAAATGATAGCCATCAATCACTTGATGGCGTCGGCTTTGAGAATAGCGCTGGAGTCGATTTCCGTCGACAGCTCGCCGTACACCGCATTTTTATAGAAGTCGGCGACGTTGATCTAAATCAATGTATTTCTCAAAAAATGTCAACAAACCAGTTCGCTGGTGCTGGTGGCGCCCATTCGCTGCGTTTCCCCCTTCTTCGCCATGGCGGTGATCAGGCAGTAGACGACGTCCCGCTGCAGCCAGTTAGCTTCTCGTTTCAGCGAATCGTTGATGACCTAGAAAGCGAAACTTTAAAGGATAATCTGAGGGCCCTACCCCGGCGAGCAAATTGACCAAGGCAGCCTCGAAGGTTTTGCAAAGATTCCGGATAAGATCGATAGCGCCGCGACGTCGAGTGCCCATATCCGTGCCTAAAACAACCAGACTGAAAGCTGAAATGCAAATTATACCTTCAATGTCCTTCTTCATATACTCCAAGGGCTCATCTTCAAACAGCTCGATGTCTTCTTCACTAAAACAGATACAGTCACCACTTTCGAGCACGAAAACTACCGGAGGGTCAGATTTTTGACGGCAATATCGATGGCGATCGTTTGCAGCACGCCTTCGCCCCGGAATAGGTCTTCGTATTTTGTGCGCAGGCAGATGGCGGCGAGGAAGTCGAGTGCGGCACACACCAGCCCATCGTACCTAGAAGCCGAATAAAGCCTACATTAAAAAAAACTACCTAGTATCGCTGCCGGTGTTGACAAGAAGCCCCCAGATTCCCTCGATTAGCGGCCGCATGAACGGGGTGATCTCCTCCTCATAGCGCTGCGCGTACAAAGTCACGATCCCGCAGATTTCGGCCTGAAATTCGATTACAAAAAATAATGCAAAAGGAAATATAAAAAAGAAAAGTAAAAAATGTAAGAGAACGCCGGCAGGTCATCTAAGTAGGGATAGTTATTACCTTTAGCTTATCGAGTGGAGTTGCTTCTCCGGCCGTGCTTCGCTGGCTGTCGACGGTCATGGCAAGCAACGCCATGAAGCCCTCCATCCACGGCTTCAGGTTATCTTCGAAATACTCGGGCAGGTCTTGAGATGCGAGCGAGTGGTAGATACGGGCGATCAACCGCAATACCTAAAAAAACTTAGAGGAAAATTGGTGACAATCCCTACATCAATCCAATTGCCAGCGTCGCTTGACGAAAGCTGGTCCTTCTGCGGGATAATTTCCAGCATTTTGCCGAAAAGCCCGGTGAGCGGCTCCTGGACGGCCGTCAGACACAGCTTCAATTCGCTCCACAGCGCGTTTGACTTGCTCTCGTAACTAAAACACGATAAACTGGCATAGAGATATCCCATACCGATATTTCTCGAAGATTTGGTCCAATGTAGAAAGCGTGGCCACGATACGCTCGAAATTGTCCGAAGTCAGCTGCTCGGCCAGGATGCCGACTAGGTTTGGCCATTGCGTCGGAAAGTCTTTCTAAAGAAAGAGTTCACACAATAATTGTAATTTAACCTTGGCAATTAGAAATACGGTGTGCGAGAGCTGCTTTCGGAGGTTGCCGGAAGTGGTCAGCATGGCCCTTAGCGCCGTCTCGCGAATCGTGGCTTTTTCTTGATCAGCCAGCTCTTTCTCGGCCATGTCACCCTAAAGTTCAATAATGTATTTGCCAGTCATAAGTATGTACCCATTGCCGCTTCACGAAATTCTTGGCCGAGATGGCTGCGGCGATACGAATATCCTGTGATGCCGACTCCGTGACGACCAGCTCGATTAACAAAGGGCCGAAGCCTAAACGTCTCAATTTTCCCAACTTAAAAAAACAAACCTGGGACAGATTCGAGGTTAAATAGCTCGCCCTCGGCCGTTTTCCGACGATTCGGATCGGGTTGCAACGTCTCCTGGAGCACCTGCGCTAGCTTTTGCATGTCCGCAGAAGCCATTTGCTAAAATAAAAAGCTTATTGAGAGGAAAACATCAATCGGAAAGATAGCTGAACAAAGATAAGGCTTCGACAATATTTCTATGGCCTAAATGACTCACAT